CCATTGGATTATACATACATGTAGTCGGAATCATAGCTTTATTCAACATATTCAAGGCACTTGATTCACCTTGAATTAAGGGGAGAGAAGACATAGTTTCATCATCAACAACTAGGCTTGAGTGTGTGATTACTATTGTTTCTCTTGTATAAATTTTTTCAACAAGTTAATATAGATCTCAATTCTATTTCTAGAATTGAAGGTAGACGTACGCCAAGCGAAGAAGAAGGGGGAACTTCCTCAACGAATTTGTTGTTGTTCTCTCTTTCGCTATTTTTCCATTTCTGAATTATTAACGTTTGTGAACAATCAAATTGCTTGATCAAAATTTTGGTGTCGTGTAGTGTTGAAAATTATTTGAAACCTCATAATAATTCTTTTGATTGTAATTTGAAAAGTTCTGCACTACCATTACTTAGAAAATTTCACTTAAGGTGTTTTTGCACACCAAGTGTTCGACAAATTGATCGAACACAATCCATTTGGGTTGTTGTCAATTTGAGTTTTATTTTCACAAGCCATTGGAAATTGCACAACCTTAAGTGAATAAAATTGTATTGATTAGTGTTCAAATTTTGATTCATTTTCGCATTAGATTTGATATTCCATCTTGGCTTATCGCATATCCGATATTTTCAGTAACAGTTCGTTTAGACGACCTTAGTTCCTCGGCCGCTTCCGCATAAAATTTTAATAACTAAATTTCTTTTAAGCACCGACTCTGTTTAGGAATTAGTGATTTATTCAACCCCCCTTTTAGATCATTGTCGTCGTCTAACAAAAAGGAGAGAGAGAGAGAGAGAGAGAGAGAGAGAGAGAGAGAGAGAGAGAGAGAGAGAGAGAGAGAGAGAGAGATTTGTTTAGGCAGTTCTCCAATCGGCCTCGCTAAGGGTACGTCTAACCTTTGCAAATGTAGTTTACAAGAGAAAAAATAGCAATGCTACCTTTCAAACCCTATGTTTGATGATGATCTTATCTTATTCTCTTCCCTTGATCTTGAGCTTGATCAAGTAACCTTACATCCAATTTGATCCTCCGGTTACCTCTACTCTTTTGACTGAACAACCATTCTTCAAAGTTTTCACTCTGCTGAATCCAAATTGTGAAATATTGTGAAAAACTCCCAAATCAATCCTTGATCTTGGAAGAAAATCCCAAATGGATTTATCTTAAAACCCCCAAAGAATTTCCAACATAATTGATTACAACTAATCCTAATTGGACCTTACCATACTATCTCCTGATCACACAACAAAAATAATTGTGTGTAGTTGTTGTATGAATGCAATGAGAGAGGATGAAGATATGAAAAGTTCTTTATGTATTCTTGGTTTCAATATTATGAAATGGTGCATGAATGATTATATATAGGTGTGTGTGTGTGTGTAAAACCGAAAACAGAAAAAATCTGGTTTACAAAATATCAAAATTGTGGCATTTTAAATAGAGGGAGTCGATTCATAGGAGCTTGTGAGTCAACCCATATTGCTTGGGAGTTGACCTCAAGTGGACAGGGAGTTTGTAGAAAATGAAACATTCAGTGGGAGTCGAGCCACAACCCGAGGGAGTCAACCCATTCGTGTTGTGTGTCGACTCCAAAGGCATATGTCTCGAATCCTTTGCATCAGAGATCTTTGATTTCATTCTACTTCAGATGGAGTCGACTCCTAACATGGATCTGTTGACTCCTAACATGGTTTTTCATAGAATTTCATATTCTTTACTTGTCCAAGTGCTTTTGACATGTTCTCTAAGTGTCCTAAGATGAAGATGCAAATTAGACATACAAAGATAAGATCCGATGTATAAATATTGAATACCTAGTTTTGACATAATTCAAAACTTTCAAGAAGATAGTGCACTCACATTTATACTTTGGTCTAATGCTTGCGTCATAACTTTGCGTTCCTTCATCAATAACCCGACTATTCTATTTTTAGTGTCTTGAAAAACCCTTTCATCCATTTGCTTTTAAAATTATTAAAATTGAGGAAATAACTTAACGTAACCAAACACACACATAACCCCTACCCCCCTATTTGAAAAACACACCTATGTTATCTTCCTAAATATGACACGTTATTGATTTTTTAAAAATACACTTACAAAATATGTTATATTTTAGGGTAACGTTAAGTTGTGCCTTAGGGCACAAATTAAGAAACATATTTCTAAAAAGTTTGTATTAGAAACATCAATAAAAAAATTAAATTTTTTATTTTTATTAATAACAGTGCATAGTTTTCAAGATATTATTTCAACATTTAGTTCTTAACTTGTGTCCCCAAAACACAAGTTAGCGTTACCCTATATTTTATATTAGTTTATACATAGATATTATAATAAAGTTTAAGGTCAGTTTTAGTTTTCTTTAATAATATTTATAATATTATATAATTTTGTTATAAAGTTTTCTAAATATATATAAATAATTTTTTATAAAATTTTATTTAAACATTTCATCATTTTTTAGATATAAAATTTCAAATTTACAATCATTTTAAAAAAGTTTTTTTTTTTTGAAGTAATACATTTTCATAAAAACAAGTAGGTGTATTAGAGCAAACTCCATAAGAAATTTGTTATAATACACCCACTTATTTTTATGAAGGCCTGTTTTAGTAACACGCACCTTAAAATTCATTTAAAATTTTTTTTAATTAAAATTTATTAAAATAGACCTTCATAAATACAAATATACGTTAGCAAATTTCATATATATATATATATATATATATATATATATAATATATATATATATATATATATATATATATATAATATATATATATATATATATATATATATATATATATATATATATATATATATATATATATATATATATATATATATATATATATATATATATATATATATATATATATATATATATATATATATATATATATATATATATATATATATATATATATATATATATATATATATATATATATATATATATATGGATATCAAAGTCTTTTGATTTATAAAAAATAAATTTAAGAAGACTTTTACTGATTTAATTTTTTTCCCTAAATATCATTTTTTGAAATAGAAAAAAAAATATTATTTAAAAATCTGTAGCACACGTCTCGATACAAATTTTTTATCAAATTATTTTAAGGAATCTACTTTTATTTTATATTATATTTTAATTTTAGTATAAACATTTGAAAAGATAAAAATTTAATATTACTCAATATGATACATTATTTAAGAAAGTCAACAAGTTTTTATAATTTAATAAAAAAATATAAAATATAGTATAATAAAATTAATTTTTATACTTTATCAATATAAATTTTTACACGATTCATCATAATCATGTATAATTATTATTTTAGATGTAGTTAAAATAAAAGTCAAATATTATTTAAAATTGCACAACAATATAAATTAGTTTAGTATGTATATCAATTAAATAATAGTAATAATTTAATATATGTATATCAATTAAATAATAATAATTATTTAATATATGTGTATCAATTAAATAATAATAATAATATAATAATAATAATAATAATAATAATAATAATAATAATAATAATAATAATAATAATAATAATAATAATATAATAATAATAATCTATAATCTATAAAGACAAAATGTTTTGGTGTAGCCTTTTTTTTACCAATTTTACCGTTTTAGTGCATACCTCACAATAACTTTCATTAAAACCACTATTATCATCTTTCAAATAACTTCTTAGTATTAATTTACTATCTAACTTCATACTAACTTCATATTTAACTTCATACTATTAACTTTTTACATAATTTTATATTTAAAATTAATATTAAATAAAAAAAATATTATTTAAATTTTTACGTAAATTAATTAAAAAAGCGGAAAGACCCTCGTCTAAACGTTAGTAATAATAATAATAATTCTTTGAATTTATTTGTTCTAATCCTAACCCTAATTCTAATCCTAATCCTAATGCCAATTAATATCAATAAAGAGGCAGCTAGGTAGGGCTGACAATGAACCGAACCAACTCGAAAATAGTTCGAAATTCGATTCGACAATTAGATCGTTGAACTAGGTTCATGAACCTAATGAGTTGAGTATGAGCGAAAAATTAAGTTCGTTAACTAAATGAGCTGAACTTGAACTCTACATAGTTCGACTCGTTAGGTTCATGAGTTAACTCGATTACATATGAGAATAATTATACTGTCTTTAAGATTAGGTTTAAATATTTAATCTAAATCTTAGACAAATTTAATCTTCAACTTAGTAGTTTTTGAATTAGACTCTCAAATGTATCTCTTGAAAGTTGTGTAAGTTTTGAATTAGTAGATTTCGAAGATAAAGTTAAATTTCAATATGATAATTTTTATTTTATTTTAATATTTTATTTTAAAAAAAATATATTTATTTAAAATGTCAAATATACTAATATATATATATATTAAAAAAAATAGTTTTTAAGCCCGTGAATCATGTGAGCTGATCCTAATGAGTTGAACCAAACTGTTCGTGAACTTATAACAAGTCGAGTTTGAACTTAAAAAAAAGTTCGTGTTGAACTCGAACTCGAACTCGAACTCGAAACAATTCATAACGAGTCGAGTTTGAGCTTAAAAAAAAGTTCGTGTTGAACTCGAACTCGAACTCGAACTCGAAAAATTCTTAACGAGTCGAGCCGAGCTGAGGTGAGTTCGACTCGACTCGACTCATTTCCAGCCCTAGGGGAAAAAACAGTAAAGAAAGAAAAAGAGTATGAAGTATCCAACCAAAGAAGACCAAGTTTAATAATTTTTTAATTCTAATTGGACCGGTAAGGTACCGCATTTTATTTTAATAACCTTAATTATAACATATTCTATTCTTCTTTGTAGGTTCCCTTTCATGAAGGGGTTTTAGGGTTTTTAATTTCTGATTTTGGGAACTCTGTTTATTTCCAACTCCCAAATTGAAGTGTTTACGTTAAGAATTAGTTGAAGAAAGTAGTGATCGAGTTGTTCAGGTCAACCGTGGTATTGTCATGGATAATTTTTGCTGTTTGAAGTCTTCTTTCGCTAAGGTATGAATGTTATTGTGGAGTAAAGGGTTTTGTGTCTTTGTTGATTGCTGAATTTGAAGGGAATTTGATTCTGTGTGTGCTGTGCGTTGATGATTGGATTGAATTGAATTGAATCTCCATGTTCGGCTCCCCTGTGTTTTTTTGTTGCTGATTTGGTGGAAAGTTTGAGTTTTGATTCTGAAATTCATGTTTTTGTGCGTGATCATCAATGATATTATTGTTGTTATTTCATGTGTAGTGTGTTTTGGTATCATGGCTAATTTTCATGTACTTTATTGTGTTGCACTTGCTAGCTTAGTAACTTTACTTTCTTGCATAATGCTTAATGTTTTCTCTTGATCCTAATCATGGTTTTAAATTGCGGTCGCGGATGCAGTTGCGGTTGTGGGTGTTGTGATTGCGGTTATTGCAGTTATTGCAATGTGTGTTGCGGCCGTTGCAGCGTGAATTTTAATAGAGAAGTGTTTGAAATACAATGTTGAAAAATATTTAGTGTTAAAGATTTTTCACTACATACAAAGTAAATTGAGTTTTGGAGTTTTTAAATTTGGAAATTTGATGAAAATACTTGAAAAAATCATGGGTGAAATTGTCTGATGTGTTTATATAATGGTCGGATGTAGTGATCTTAAATCACATTGCAATTGCGGTCTGATGTGGTTGCAGAGGCTACCGCATCCGCAATATTGGGGCCACAATTACGAGTGCAATTTAAAACCATGATCATGATGTTTCTGATTATTTTGTTTTAAATTCTTACTGTTATTGTGATTCCTGCTTTAAAATTTCCGCCTATGTGTTTTAAGATCTATCACCAGGGCGGTACAAATAGGTTTTTGACATTTTGTGAATCCATGATCATATTTGTTTTTATAGAAAAATGTATTGTATTGTAGTTTGAAATAGCTTTGAATTTTTGGAGTGCAACGAATTTGTACCATTTTGGATGAGTCTTGAATAATTACATTTTTCTGAAATCCTTGTATGCTCAAATAAACTTGTTATAGAAGAATGTATTGAATTGTAGTTGAAATAGCTTCGGATTTTTGAAGTGCATTGCATTTGTTTCATTTTGGATGAGTGTTGTATAATTATATTTTTCTGAATTTCTTGTATGCTCAAATAAACTTGTTTAACTTTCTTTTTATTTTGGTTTGCTTGATTTTATAGCTTGTATCCACGCGATCATCATGCAGCACAGGTAAAGGGAAAAATCATCAAGGGTCAATAAAGTATGGTTTCACCCTAGTGAAAGGGAGAGCTAATCATCCGATGGAGGATTACCATGTCGCCAAGTTCGTGCAGTTACAAGGAAAAGAATTGGGTTTGTTTGCTATTTATGATGGCCACTTGGGCGATAGTGTTCCTTCCTACTTACAGAAACATCTATTTTCCAACATTTTAAAAGAGGTATCACTCTGAAAGTTATGAAAAACGAGTAAACGCCCAATTCAATCCATAAAATTCCACACTTCTGTCACCTGACCCTCCACTTTATCGAAATTCTAAAATAGTCCTTAACAGAGGAAAGACCGAATAACACTTTGAAAAGTCAGACACTATTTAAGAATATTTCTAAAGTGGAGGATTAGGTTTATACAAGTTCACAATTGCAGGGACTGAATTTCGTAATTATTCTTTGAACAATCATTGTAAATATTCTATACTAGGCTGATCAGAATTTATGTTGGAAATTATAAATTCTTATACTTTTGAATTTTATCATAGGATGGATTTTGGGAGGACCCTGCCGCATCTATCTCAAAAGCATATCTGAGCACAGATAAGGCAATTCTTTCACATAGTTCTGATCTCGGGCGTGGCGGATCAACAGCTGTAACTGCAATACTAATCAATGGTCAACTGTTATGGACGGCTAATGTAGGAGATTCACGAGCCGTTCTTTCAAGAAAAGGTCAAGCAGTGCAATTGACTACTGATCATGAACCTAACACAGAACGCGGCAGCATTGAAAATAAAGGTGGTTTTGTCTCCAACATTCCAGGTACTAAGCTCCCATTGTTCCAGTTTCTTATCTGTCTGCTTTCATATTTTCATTTTTTGTTTCGATCTTTTCTTTCTTGTTCAGTATGTAGCTCTACCATTTTGTGTAAAGAAAGTGTATTATTTGTTCTTTTCTTAATGTCAATAATAATTTTCTCTTAAAGCTGTTGAATTTTTGTTTCATACCAGAATAAGACCAATAAAATTCATTGATTCATGTGTCTGAATATCTTATATGACCTTCTCCGATCAATATTCTATTTTTTGTTGTAATGTTGCCTTATAATGGGTACATATTTGTATGAATTCACGTGCTTCGATTTTGTAAATCATAATTGAAATTGAATTCAAATGATGAAATTTCTCTCATGTTGTTCAATACATTGTCAATGAACAGATCTGAGAAATAATTGAGATAACACCTATTGTGGATTGAAAAGATGGTACAATCTCACCTTAGATAGTATTTGAATGTGTGCTGAAGATATGTAAACGTGCTGGTAAAAAGGATAAAAATTTAGAGAAACCAAGAAAAAATTATAAACTTAACAATTAAGAAGGATTTGAAATTCACGGTTTAATCAATACATATGATTCATGGTAGGATACTAGTGTTTTTTATACCTAGTGGGAACTTAAACTATGGTTGTAAGCCGTCCGTTTAATCAGGGAAATGATATAATTCATGTACTTGGCTTAGTGTTGTCAAATGTGGATCGCAGAAAATAGCACTGTTCAAATTCCGCTACGCAACACTGTTATAGCGCCGTCATAGCTGCTATTTTACAGTATTTTGTATTAAATAGTGTATCGAGGAGCAATGGCGGTTTGTTCTATAATACTGTCGGCAGTAACTCATCTGTGTCCATATACTGATTTCCAAAGAGTTCAACCAGAACTATGAGCTTTAGTTGTTTTTGTGCAGTCAAATCACATCAGACTTTCTTAAATGATTAACGAAGAAGCAATTGATCCATATTGTAATGTTGTTTCTTACATACTTATAGTGTAACTCATTTCATTACAAAGTAATTTTTTTTTACATGAGAATGTATCAAAATAAAACTTCTAAATGTTATTATATTCTTTTAATACGATAACATTCTCTGATATATCCCAGGTGATGTACCTAGAGTAAACGGACAACTGGCTGTTTCTCGTGCATTTGGAGACAAGAGCCTCAAGTCTCATTTGCGGTCAGACCCCGATGTACAAAGGACCGATGTAGATGTTGATATTGATATTCTAATCCTTGCAAGTGATGGACTTTGGAAGGTAAAATGAGTAAATTAACATTTGCAAGGGTCGAGCAATTTAGTCCATCAAATTTCCGAAATAACAAATTAGTCCCCTTAAAGTTATGATGTCAAATTTGACAAATTCAATTTAATGGACTAAATTACTATTTCAATAATTTTAAGGACTAAATTGACCGACCCCTTACATTTTCAAGGACAAAAATGTGGATTAGCTTGAACTTTAAAGAATATACGTTGTCATTTTTGTTGTACATTCGGTAAAAGTATTTAAAAAAGGAGAGCTTTTTTCATTTGCTTGTGTTAAAATCAGGTAATGAGTAATCAAGAGGCCGTTGATATTGCTAGAAAGATGAAAGATCCACTGAAAGCAGCTAAGAATTTAACAGTTGAAGCATTAAAAAGAGACAGTAAAGATGATATATCTTGTGTTGTGGTTAGATTTAGGAGTTGATAATATATATTTTAAATCACAGGTTTCTTGCTGAGTGATAAAGTTTATAGCACTAAAATAAAGGTATATAGATATAAATATATATCTCTCTCCATGGCATGCCAATTCATGGACTGCAACAAAACATCATATACTACATACTTGGTTGGAGTTAGTTTTGACTAAATTTATTTAGGGAAAAAGGGTGTGTCAACCTTTGAGTTTGTTTACAGATTAGATTTTGTTTGTTTGAGATTGTTTGATTTGATTACTTTATTTTTAGTGTGAATATTAGGAGTCTACATAAGAGAAAGTAAACTATACGTAGATTGAGATTATGTGCATCTAATTAGTGGTTGAAGTTAAAAGATTTTGGTATCATATACATTTGTATCCAAAATTTTCAAAGTGTCCTCTTTTTCTTTAATCTGCGATATTATTGTTCAAAATAATGAAACAATCAACAATAAGCAGAAATTGTTGCTTTAACAATAAGCAGTGCTTTTTGACTGAACTTTTTTTCCCTCTTCTGGGAGAGTTTTGTGGTGTGGTCCATGTAGCCAAACTACTTTTCAAATTCTTAGCCGCCTACAACACATGTATGATTCATTTTGGCAAAGACAAGTAAATTTTGTTGACAAAGAATATGATTTACTTGATTGTAACATAGGACTGATCATTTTAATGAAGTGTGTTTTTACCTTGTTTACGACTCTTTTGCTCAAACACTTTGTTTGATGGAAGAAATTTTTTTGGCACAAATGAATGCGTTCAAATGAAAGTCTTGTTCAGTAAAGTCTTGTTCAGTTTTTAAGGACGCAAGTATGGGAGAAAAACTATTTGTTGATATTAGAAATTTCTCATTTTATATATAAATCAATCATCTCTGCTTTTGAGAGTTATTAGAATATGTCTTAAATAAATAAATAGAAAGTGTTGTTTTACACACACTAAGCATTGTTTCTCCATTAGTGAAAAACTAAAACTATCCTAAAATTCAGAAAAACTAAAACTACCCTAAAATTCAGAAATGCATTTTTGAACCACCTCAAATACACTAAATTTATGTTTAAGCAAGTCACATTCTCGTTTGATAAAAAAAAAAGTAGTTAAGAAATATGTTTTCGGAACAAATTTGGAAATATAGTTCCATATTCTGTTTCCACGTGGAAAAGCAATCAATGGAACACACACATCATTGTTTTATAAAATTCTTAATACATTTTACTCTAATGTTAAAATACTAATCAACAATTAAATAATTCACATTTTCATTTTAAAAAAACATTTATTTACTTTTATATCAAATTAAGATACTAAATATCATTTCTATTAATACATAAAAGTATTAATTGATACTATCGGTTCCTTTATATAAAAGACGATTTGTTTTTTAAATTTATTGAATAATCAAAGTATTTAGTTAGTTTATAGACTAAATATATTGACTATTCAATAAATCTAAAAAATAATATGTCTAATATAGAGAAACGAAGGTAGCATTATTTTTTCATTGATAAATATTCATATTATCATTCTTTATCTCACTATGGAGATTAATAGTTTATTCTTTTGACTTCTTAAATTTGAACTCTTATTTTCAGACGAAAATATTGTTACAAAGTGCTTTTAATGATGAGAATTTATTAATGCGCCTTAAATACTTTTTAGCCATCATGCAAAATTATTTAAATGTTTGTAGTTTTTGGAGATGCATCTCTGAACGCACCTATTTTTGAATAAATTTTGAAATATTCTAGAAATGCATCTCTGAAACAATTTAAAATATTCAATACACCCCACTCAGAAGTCGTTTACGTTTGAATCGTACCGGAGATGTATATTCGTGAATATTTTGGAGTTATATCTCTGAAATGTATCAGGATAGGTATTTCATGCTATATGTTGTTTATTTGTGTTCAGATGAAGTATAACATACGATCGGAAAAAAATAGACGTACATAATTCCAGATGGACCAAAATGCCATACAAAAATAAAATAGCAATATATGTCAAAATTGTCGTACAATCGAGATCAATAATGTAGTAAGATCGTCAAAATAATGTACAGACCATAGTACTATAATAAAATAATAAGAGACTACTACTGTGTGTGTAGGAATGGGAATTTGGCTTTTCCCAGTGGGTACCCACAACGCGCAGGGTAAAAACCTGCAAAAATGGATACGGACACGACTCAGGTAGTTACCTACTTAAATAAGCGGGGATGAGTGCGGGTATGGGCACCTTAGTGCCCACCCCGCCTCATACCCGCACAATATATATTTATATATTTTAATTTATAAAAATAAATGTTTATAAAATAAATAAAAAACATCAATTTTAAACTACGAACATATTTAATATAAGTGATCATTTATTTCATAATTCAACAATAATTTTTTAAAATTTTTTTTAATGTTTTTAAAAACTTAAAATATTGTGATATTTTATACTTGATATATTTATTTTTATTAGAAATATGGGTAACGGGCACGGGTACAAACACTTATATACCCATATGGAACGGGACGGGTGCCAATGTTGATACTCAAGCGGGAATGAGCTCGGGTACGGGGATTTTTTTCAACTGCGGGTATGAAGACGGGTGATATAGTATCCTACCCAAACCCCGTCCATTGCCATCCTTATGTGTGTGTCTGACAATCTCTCCTCTACCTCCTCTGCTCCGTCTACCTCCTCTTTCACCAATCTTTCCTGTCCTCTGGTGATGTCTCCAGTACAACAATGTTCCATGTGCCTCCATCATGATGGCATCTAGGACTCACATAACACTAGACCTATAAGGGAAGATACCCTCGTCAATGGCTGCCCGCGGAATCTCCACTATGCGACGATACCTAGGCAAGACATCATCAATATGATCTAGTTGAGTCTGCTCCTCCTCTAGTATCTCCTTATGAGCTGGTCTCGGTGGATCTCCTAGAGCAGCATGCACAGATGTGACACCCTGAAGAACCATCTGATGTACCCTTTAACGTAGCTCTAGTCGCTCTCAGCTATGGTTAGAGATGTAAGTGGATATCCATGGAGATAAATACTATGATATTTGTATCACCACCGTTAGATAAATATGATATTCATATCTGCCCCATGTCCATGCGGGTATCCGTTAAGCGGGTAATCCACGAGTTTTATGATATCTGGGGATATTTACAGATATCCATGGATAATATTTTTTTATAAAGATTATTTTTTGAAAAAAACATGTTTAACTTCTTTTAAAGACACAAAAAGTTATTATAACATAACATCCAAACAATTCGCTCTTAATTTAACAATAAAATTTCATCACATTAATTTTTTTTTCCACCAAAACATAATTAGATCCAAACATAATACCCATACATTTCATTTTTAACCAAACAAATAAAAGATATGTGATTGTGAGTTATGATGGAAGAGTGGATGGCAGAGAAGTAGGAAGGGAGACACAGGTTCGACAGATGAATGATGTGACTAGTCGGTTGGACTGTAAAATTGTTGAAGTGAGATATGAATTATTGAAGAGTTTAAATATGAAATTGCTAATAAAATTTGAACGAAATGTGAAAGGTTTTCTTCAAATAAAATTTCAAAAAAAAGAAGAAGAAAGAAATATAAGAAGAGTAGTTTTTTTAGAAGATGAAAAGATAAGGTATAACAAATTAATGATATTTAAATGATTTTTATAATTTATTAACGGATATGCATATTCGCGGGCACATATATCATTAAACACGTATCCATATTCATTAACAAACGGGTATTTAAATGTCCATTTATTTTATCTGTGAATATCTATAAAGCTACATGCCCCATATCAGTGACGAGTTTTATCCGTGGATATCCACAGCTACGAACTTTTTTACCATCCTTAGCTATGGTAGCTTGTGCCTCCTCCAATACCAAATGACTTTAATAATCATCAAACATCTCCTCTATCTGTCTTCATGTTAAGGAAGGAAGAGCAGAGACAACAAGGTGTCTGAGAATGGTCTAAGTGTAGCCGAATGACCATATGACGCACTCGGGTAGATGAGAAGCAGTGAGACATGATCCGCCGGCCAACCATCTAGAGTATAACATTATTTCGTCAAATGGCCACATCTCACAGTGATTAACATAGCTGTTGAAGTGAATGTCCTCAGCAACCAAATGGTCAAGAAACTCTTAAAGGATTGATCGCTTGGTTCCATCTGAACGGGATAAAAGCAGTAGCACACGACATATCCTTAGTGTACTCAAGCACACTCGCCCAGCCAGAGATGCGAGGGAAGTGATGGAGAATCCAAGTCTGAAATAAAATGTTTGGAACACACAAATCATTGGTACTGGTTTTGAAAAGAGGAAATGATAAAAAAACATTTAAAGAAAAATAATTTTTACCGTCAATAGTATCACGCTGTCTGTGATCTTCTTTGTCATCCACATACAACCTGAAATTTTGGTATACAGATCACATATGTCCCATGAAAAGTCGAGACATTGATATCTACATAACTTAAACAAGGACATAACATAACAGACCAAAATAATATGATATCTCAGGATCCTAACAAAGTAACAACAAATGTTTCAACATCTGTTAAGACATGTATTTAATAGCAAGAGAAAGAACTGAAATATTCATAAGAGAATGGTAAATAACACCAAGATATGATGACCCAGTTCAGTAAACAACAACACCTACATCTGGAGGCTACCAAGCCAGGAATGAATTCACTATCACTAGTATTAATTTAGAACTAAACAACCTCCGGTTTACAACTTCTCACGTAATCCCTACCCAGTGCAACTTCTACATAGAAATCACCATCTACATAAGAGAAACCCATCTCAATTCCTAAATTACACCAATGATATCTAACAGTCACAACCTCCGGTAACTATATCAAACTATTCAATTGAAAGACACCTTTTTCAATACAAAATTCAGTCAAGCTCTTGACTAACATTAATACTTGGATTTTCTTAAAAGCTTCATCTAAGAACAATATACAATTCATTATCTACATGTT